CTAAGTGCCCCTCAGTCGAAGAATGGATAAAGAAAATGTTTACACAATGTAGTATTACTCGGTGGTTAAAAAAAATGACATCTTGAAATTTGCAAGCAAATGGATGAAACTAGAAAAAAAAACACGCTGAGCAAGACAACCCAGACCCATAAAGACAAATCTAGTATGTACTCACTCATCAGTGGATATTAGACATAAAACAAAGGATAACCATCCTATATTTCACAATCCCAGAGAAGCTAAGTAACAAGGAGAACCCTAAGAGAGATAAATGGATCCCCCTGGGAAGGGGAATTAGACAAGATCTCCTGGGAAAATTGGGAGTGGCGTGGGGGGAGGGCAGAAAGGAAGGGGGAGGGGAGAAGGGAAAGGAGTAGGAAACATGAGGGAATAAGATGGTTGAGATAGGGGAAGGACAGAAAGGAGAGGAAGGAAAGAAATATCTGTATTGAGGAAGCCATTATGGTGCCAGTGAGAAACCTGGCACTAGGAAAATTCCCAGGAATCCACAAGGATGACCCCAGCTAAGACCTTAAGCAGTAGTGGAGAGGATTCCTGAACTGGCCTTTCCCTGTAATCAGATTGATGGCTACTTTAATTGTCATCATAGAACCTTCATCCAGCAACTGTTAGAAGCAGATGCAGAGATTCACAGCTAAGCACTGGACTGAGATTCCAGAGATCAGCTGAGGGAGGAGCAATAATATGAGCAAAGGGGCCATGACCATAATGGGGATACTGACCTGAGCTGGTGAGAGCTCACTGACTCTGGACTGATAGAGGGGGGAATCTGCATAGGACCAAACTGGGCCACTGAATGTGGGTGATGGTTGTGTGACTTGGGCAGTCTGTGGGGCTACTAGCAGTGGGACCAGTATTTATCCCTAGTGCTTGAACTGGCATTTTGGAACCCACTCTTTTTTGGAGAGGTACCTTGCTCAGCCTAGACAAAGGGGGAGAGCCCAGGTCCTGACTCAAAGTGATGCATCAGAATTGGTTGATTCCACTTGGGAAACTTTACCCTCTCTGAGGGGTGGATGGGAGTCTGGGGTGGGGGAATGTGAGGGGAGTGGGAGGAGGGCAGGAAGCAGGAACTTGGGTAGGAATATAAAATGAGAAAAGATTGTTTAAAAAATTAATATTAAAAAAAGAGCCCACTGAATTTCAAAGCACCAACACAGAGTCTGCAGAATGCAGTTCTCACACTGCAAACCCAGGAGCACCTGGAGCTGGGTAACCATGTGGATTTCTTGAATCCTCCACACTCCTCTATGATGGGAACTCCAGGGCGCTGCAGCTAAGAGCATGTATTTTTAAATAAGCACCTAAACGACTTTGATATAGGCAATGAGTCCCAGAGTGGCCATTGCACCAACTGTATTCAGCTTTGCAAGAATAGTTTGTAAACTTCACATCCATCCCTACCTAGACCATGAACTTCCTGTAGGATGTTCTGCCTTTATCTCCGTGTGGTCAAACATAGTTCCTCACCTCCATCGTGGTGTGAGACATTTATCTAAGTGGAATGAGAAAAAAATTGGAGCAGCCTATGCTCACACTCATGCTCAGACAAGTCTTAAGCCTCATCACTGACTCTAGGTCCCAAATCATTATCGCTGGGAAAATTAAGGACACACAGACAATGTTTTTCTTAGAGGCTCTCTCAGTCTGCCCCTCTGAAATCATACAGTTTTAAATAAAATTTGGGAGGAAAGGCAATTGTCCCAATGTCACACAAGAACCTCATTCCCAGTATGAGGCTTTCTCCTTTTCATAATGTGAGTTCTCAGCGTCAGAGGGCCTCCTGCAGAAGGCTAATGGGAAGGGGAGGTCATGAGATGGAGGAAGCCAAAGACCTGGCTGGATTCACATGAGGGTTTATAGAAGGAGAAAGGAAGGGACAGAGGCCCCAAAAACCTCACAACACCACAAGTGTAAATAAATCTTTGTTTCTGTTTTCTTTGAAAATGGAATTCACACAATCCTGCCTGGACCTCTCTGCCTTCCAATGCCCAAAGCACGGGAAATGGATCTTTGAGGTAGATGGAAATAGGACAGGGGTGCGGAGTAGAGACTGACTGGACTAGTAGACTAACCTACCCTACACAGGAGGGGACAAAGAGTCCCTCTGCAAAGTTGTCTCTTACCCAGCCACAACCTCTGGATGCCTCAGGCTGTGCCTGTCCGGCAACATTCAGGGCTGGTTTGGCTGCTAGGAGTACAGTATAAAAGCAGCTAGAGTCTGAGTGGGCTGTCTCCTTGGGAGCACCAAGAAGCTGGGAATTCAAGGACTAAGACGCTTGTCACTGAGAGTGTTCGAAGGAAAGTGGTGCCCTGCTCCGCCACGCCTCACCTCTCTACCCCTCAAAAGTTACCTGTCCTGAAACTCACTCTGTAGACCAGGCTGGTCTTGAACTCACAGAGACCCGCCTGCCTCGGCCTTCCAAGTGCTGGTTAAACCCACCTCCTGGCCTGGACTGTTTTCTTGTCTAAAGTAGAACTTCAAATTCCCTTACCACTGGAGCACCCTTCCTGGTCATATACCTGGGAACTAGTTCCTGCTTATGGCTGTGTTTGTACCACGAGTGTACCATAAGGCCACCTACCCGCAATCACTCTTCCCAGTGCACAGACTTACTCCATAGGCCTCTCCACCTGCTGTGGTCTGGCCAGTTCTCAGCCCTGCCCTGAGAGTGTTCAGCCTCCTCTGTTGCCACTTTGTCCCTGCAGCTCTTGGGGCACTCCTCCAAGTGCGTTGCACTCTTCATCCCAGATGCTCAGGGATGAAGTACCTGTTCTTTATGAACACCTTCTGCATCGGCCATGCTCTCCCGCATCCCCTGAGGGTGGGACGAGGCACTCAGCAGGGTCTGTCTTCTATTAGCTATGGCCATATGAATACCAACCCAAGCTGCCCAGCCATTCCTCGTCTCCCTGGAAGCTCCAGTGGGGCATCAGGGCTTTGTGAGGAAGGAGCTGAAATCATCTTCCCACCTTCAGAAACTCATGGTGAGAGGCACACCCCTGGGAAGGGGAGCCCCTGGGGTGTCGAGACAGGACTGCTCTGAGGTGCATACAGGAGCAGATTTTTCTGGAGATCCCACTCGGGTGTTCTGTTTTAGCCTGGCCAGGGAGGTGGCTCTCACAGGGACATAAAGCCGGCCTGTGCCAGCACGGAAAGCTCAGCAGTAATGGGCTGGGTGGCTGTCCAGGGCTCAGCTGGCTTGCCCCGTGGATAAGTAACTTCAGAGCAAAGCTCTTGCCTGAAGCGGAAAGGGGGCACTCTGTGGGACATCCTTTCCAGAAACAGTTCTTCATCCAAGAAAAGAAATTTTCTATAAATTCCCCTAGCTTATCACCTGGGAAGGCCACGGTCCCCTGTCTAACAAATCCTTCCTGAAAACGTTGCAGCAAGCTTGACTCCAAGGCCGTCCCCGGCCTCCTCCCACTATAGGAGGAAAACCTCCTAAGCACTCCAGCCACCTCCCTCAAAGACTGGTCTCTCCCCCAGGAGTCCCACTTTTACCACACCCAAACCTCCTTTCCCTGTGGACCCCACCTCCACCAGAGTTTGACATCCAAGAGACATTACACGATATCAATTGCAAGTGAAGTTTATTATGCAGACACCCAGACCACAGCCCTCAGAAAGTAGAGTCCATTCAAGAGGCTATGTACACAGAAGCATAGTTTCCCCGGACCACTGTTGGGGGATGGAAGAGGGAGGCTACCCTGCGGTCCTCAGCAGAGCACATCTGGAAATGACTGCCAGATGGCAGTGCAAGCAGACCAGGGGTGGGACATGGCTTGGAGACACACTTGGACAACACAGATTCATTCCTAGAACACAGCGTGTGGCTCTGACTCTAACTGTTTGTGAGAGATCTTTCATCACCCCCTCTTAGAATAAATGTCACCAGAGCTGGATTACAAAAATTGGGGTTGCTCTGAGTAAGAGATACAGAGATTCAGCTGATATTCTGGAAGCAAAGGGTAGGGAGAAGACCCATCTCTATCTAAAAGAGAAGGTCACCCCGGAGCCACAGCTTTCCCCTGAACCAGCGCCTCCCCTTTCAGAGCCAGATACTGCGCCCCCAGATCCAGACCCGCCCCTAGAGCCTCCTCCAGAGCCTGAACCTCCCCTGGAGCCGCCTCCAGAGCTGTATCCACCTCCTCCAGAGCCTGAACCTCCCCTGGAGCCGCCTCCAGAGCTGTATCCGCCTCCTCCAGAGCCTCTGCCTCCAGAGCCATAGGAGCTGCCTCCTCCATAGGACCCTCTTCCTCCAGAACTTCCTCCGGAGCCAAAGCCAGCCTTGGATGCCACCGATGAGGAAATGGTGCTGCTTGTCACGGCTGTAGGAGAGAAGATGTCAATCCAGGAGTTCTGACCATCTCTACCCTCCACTGCCCCATTAAGACAGGTACATTCCCCACTACGTACACACAGACACGTTGTCACTGATTTCTCCAGTCATCCTGTCAGGGAGAGAGAGAGCAGAATTGTGACTGGACATCTGGACTCCGTGGGTGAACAGAGTTGTTTTACGGTGTGCACCTACTGATGTGGAATTGAGCTACTTCAGTCAGCCATGTCATGTCATCTACGCTGACAGATGGGAGGATGACAGAGGGGCTGACAGACCCCATACTTATCTACAGCCTCAATCCCTCCTGAGATACTGCTCCAAAAAAAAACCCTTGCACTGTAGATCCAGAGCGGCTCCAAGGCCAAATCTCTTCTGACTGTACCCTACATTGTATTTACAGCCACCTCAGGGACTCTGATCTCCAGAATCATTGCCACACCCCATTTCAAAATGAGGTTGCACCATGAACATGCAACAGAAGGAACTGCAACTCTGTGAAACGGCCCCACCCCCGCCCGAGACCCTGCTTCCTGTTTCCACTGAAGCCTTGGCTGCTTCAGCCCAGATTCGGGTGCCTGCCAGCTCCTTCGTGGGAACAGTGGGCACTGACTCTCAGAAGAGTACAGGAAAGGCGGCTCCTTTGTTATGCTAACTACTGGTGCCCAGGGCTGCAGACACTCAGGGCTTTTCCCTCCCAATAGCTTCAGCCACCTCAAGTCCCTACAGATGCTGATGACAGAGGAAACAATGGAAACAAAGGAAAAAGTGATTCAGTTTGTCATTCTTAAAAGAACAAAGTGTGTCCCTCCAACACATTTGATGCCATCTCCCCATTCGGAGCCAAACTGTGGAAGGGAAAGAAGCTAGTCACTCTACCTTCAGTCTGACTACCTATGTTCCTGTCATTTGTTTTGTCTTTTAAAGACCAGGATGTTTCCATTGTCACCTAGTTTAATGTCTTGTAACAGGTCCTGTCCACCTTCTCTATTGATAAGAGAACAATGCTGTCACTCTCGTCCTGAATGTCTGCTTGGAGAAGCATACTGATGCCAATCTCACTGTCCAGAGGCCCTGCCCAGCCTTCAGTTTTCTCTCCCTTTGCTCCTGCCCTGGCTCCAGGAGACAGGAGAGTGTACACCACGACACCCTCACCTGCACTCCTCGCCCTCCAGCAGCTTGCGGTAGGTGGCAATCTCCACATCCAGGGCCAGTTTAGTGTTCATGAGCTCCTGGTAGTCACGCAGCAGCCGGGTCAGGTTCTCGCGGGCCTGCTGCATGGCCTCCTCCAGGTCAGTGAGCTTGGTCCTGGCGTCTTTAAGGGCGTGCTCTCCACGCTGCTCCGCATCTGCAATGGAGTCTTGCACACTCTTGCACTATGAGGAAAAACAGAGTAGGCTCAGCATGCTGGAGGGGATGAAAGACAAGACACGCAGTTGTGGGAGATCAAATCGCTGGCCCTGGAAGTCTTGGGGACTCCCTTTGGAGCTAACAGATGTTGCAGCTGTGCCATGACTTGTAGCTGCTGTCCCTGACCTATCTTCCTCCCACAGCCCTTTGACTGGACCCATAGGCTTTCGCTGCAATGACCACGACCCTCCAAACTCAAGAACTCATCATCCATCCAATTCTCTGCAAATGAAGAAATGCTATTCTGCAGAACTCCTGCTACCTATGAAGCAGACTCTGCCCCAGAAATCATATCCTAAGCCAATGTCCAACAAGGACCAGCTCCCTCCCACTCACTGGCTTTCTGTGAACACAGTCAGCACAGCTGCTGTCTAGGGTCTGTGCCATGATGGAACAGGAAGCTGTGTCTGCAGTCACAGCAAGCCGAACAAGATCTTGCTGTATTTGCTGTTCCTCCCTTTGAGTCAAGCAGTGCTTCCCCTTTGCTGATCTTCACTTCAGAATGTGTCTTGAACTACTCTAAGGGTCTTAAATAGCATTGATCTGGAGGAGACTGGGATTGGTGTAAACCGGATTAGAACTTCTCAGTTTCTCTTCTGTCCCTCTATCCCTCCCCTACCCTTTGGGGGAGATGACAAGGGGGAGGGACCTATCCAGAGCCCCAGGCCTCACCTGCTTTTTCACGTGGGATATCTCCCCTTGCAGCCTCTGGATTGTGCGGTTCAGCTCGCTGATCTCCATCTTGATCTCTTTCAAGCTGTCCCCATGTTTCACGGCAGTGACCTGGAGTTCTTCATACTGACAAGGGCAAAGGAAACAGTTCACAGGGACGTTCTGTCTGAGCAAGGCTTAGCCTGAGCTAAAGAAGACCAGTGACAGGCCAGGGATGAGCAACAAACCCAAGAAACCATCTCACATGGCCCTGAGGATTCAGTGCCATTCTCTGTACTATCTTAGGAATGATGCTCAACTTCCATTGGACAAACACTCCAGTGCCCTACCTGGACATGACCTCGATAGGAGTGAGGCCAGTGTGGTTCCCTCTATATCCCCAGGACTTGCCTTGCTGTGGTACAGCTCCTCTGACTCGGTCTTGCTCTTTTGGGCGATGATCTCATATTGACTCTGAACCTCAGAGATGATGCTGTCCAGGTCAAGGCTTCGGTTGTTGTCCATGGACAGGATGACATTGGTGTCAGTGACAGTCTGTTGTAGCTGGGACAGTTCCTACAACACACACACACACACACACACACACACACACACACTAATTAACCACAGTGTTCCGCCCACAGCTACAGTGAGAGGCCTCCCTTCCCTGGCATTGAGGAAATGTGAACTCTCAGACAAAGCATGCTTTGGGTGAGATGAAAGTGGTATCACCACAGGGCTATCCTCGGGGTGGAGATGACGGCAGAAAAGTGTTCATGGGCACCCTAGTAAAATGCCTTCTCCACCATGCCAGTGGGCCCCAGAAAGAACCTGGCCCATGGCAGATTCCTGTAAGTTTCCTTCCTATCTCAGAAGTGGACTGGGGAGTGAGCAGGAAGCGTGATGCATTCTAACCACTGGAGTTTAATAGGCACAGTATCATGGAGTATAAAGGTCTCTTCCGAAAGCAGTGGACATAGAGGTGATGGAGAAAAGGGACTTTGACCTGGTGTTTCCAAACCTCACATGACATCAAAAGAAGTTCCACTCCCCCCAACCCTGCTCTAGGGAAACCCCTTAGAGGACTGCAATGACCTCACTGCGTTGAAATCAGGCAATCAACAATCCCATCCCAGCAGACTTTTCAACTGGAAAGGACTTTTCTTTAGTGGGAAAGGTAGAAAGTAAGGGTCTGTGGGGACAGCTTTCTTTACCACATCATAGAGTGTTCTCAGGAACTCAGCTTCCTGCATCAGTAAGTCCACCTTGGCCTGTAGCTCGGTCTTGTCCATGTAGGAGCTGTCCACATCCTGCAGAGAAGTTAGAGGCCTCTGGAGCAACTCACATGGCCCCCTGAGTGTGTCCCAGATTCTCTCTGCTGCCTCCACCTAGTCCCTGCTAGTTAGCTGCCTCCAGCATCCCAGGCACTTCCAGATGAGCTGTGTCTGCATGGACCCTCATTTAGCATATAAACTAACATGCACCTCTGTAGAGAGCTCCATGCCTAGATCAGCTGCTCACACAGCCCAGCATCATGACGGCTTGTAGTGAGCTGAACCTTACTGACTTCTGCCCTTCCTGATTGAGTCATGTGTGTTCCCCCAAATAGGAGAGTTGGCTTCTGTACCCGTCATCATTCTTCATGCCTCCCATTCTACTCGTCCATCCAAAGTCTCCTGAATTTACCTGGATTGTTCTCCAAAACCCTTACAGGACCTAGACTAACACTTTGCTTTCTGGAGTCCCTGTAGACATGGCGAGGTGTACAGCGGTCCTACCCGCCCTGCCTAGGGCAGGCTCCTGCTCACCTTTTTAATCGTCACAAACTCATTCTCCGCAGATGTGCGCTTGTTGATTTCATCCTCGTACCTGTTGAGCCCCCAGAAGACAACAGCAGTTAGACAGCTCTGGTTGGCCAGCTCCCTTCTTTCCCTTTTCTACTGGAAAATTAAGCTCTCTTTAAATGCTTAGATTAAAACTATGAAAGTAACGTTCTATTCATTAATTCAAGCGTATATAGCCCCCAAACCCTGACTTCTTTGTCATCAACAAAGATGCCCCTCCTCACCACCTTGGTGCACCCGTATAACTGCTGCTGAGAGATCAGCGAATGGATGGCTATCTCTACTCGGGGTTTCTATTGTCACCTACTTCTTCTTAAAGTCTTCCACAAGATCCTGCATGTTGTTCAACTCTGAGTCCTGCGAGGTTTTTTCTGCAAACAGCCTATCCACCTGTTTCTTGAGCGTGCTAATATAGGCCTGGTAGATGGGGTCTAGGTTGGTGGAGCGGGTGCCCACATCCAGCTGCTGTAGAAGCTCCCATTTGGTCTGCAACACCTGGTTCTGCTGCTCCAGGAACCGAACCTACAGTGACCAGGGGAAGAATACATAAGGTCCAGGTCACCTGTTACACCAGTGAGCCACTCTTGCCCCCAGGAACCCCTGCTGCTGCTCTGGGAGATGCAGAAGCCACACTGCTTCACCCTCACCATCCGAGGGAGGCTGGGTTTCTGAGCCCTCCAGCCTCACCCATGGGCTGTAGAGAACCCGCTCTGCTCTCAAAGCTCTCTGCTTCCTCACCACGACTTCCTGATCCCTGCTTCATCCGCAGCTGCTCCCTAGACTCCAGGCATTTCCCTCCCCCATCCTAGTACTCTGCCAAGGTCCCATAAATTCCAGAGAAAACAAAAAGCAGGCATCTGCTGGCCCAGTCGCAGATGGCACCAAATAGAGTCCCGGGGTGTGGGCAGGGCTCCTCCACCTGAGATTTAAGAACCTTGTAAATTCCTGTCTAATTCAAGGCAGAGGAACCAAGACAGTAACACCCCAAGGTGACACCAATAAAGATTTTATGGGTCACCAAAATGAGAATGATTCTCTTGAGGGATAGGGTTCTATTAGTCACCATACTATTGTCACTCAGGGAAGACAAAATCTACCCTTTCTCGCGATCACCTTCCAATCCTGCTGTCACCTGGCCTGACACGCTCTGTTACTACTTGCCTATTTCGACTTTCCTATGACATCAAACTTTTCTACAAATAGTATCTATTTGGTCTGAAAATCAAAATGAAAAGCAGCAGTTGTAGAATGTGTGGTTCCCAAAACCAACATCTCGCCAGTTTGGAATTCAACAAGGCCCTGGCGTTGATGGCCACACAAAGACTACTGAGAGAGTCCGGCGTTTCCTTCTCATCCGGCACGCAAGCGCAGCATCTCATCCCAGAAAGATCCGCCTCTCCGACTCACCTTGTCAATGAAAGAGGCAAATTTGTTGTTGAGAGTTTTGATCTGTTCCCGTTCCTGAGACTTCACGTTCTGGATCTCTGGGTCTACTTTGACATCAAGAGGCTGCAAGAGGCTCTGATTGACGGACACTTCGTGGATGCCTCCACCAGGGAATCCTCCAGGCCCCCCAAAGCCTCCAAAGCCCCCGCCGCCGCCTCCAAAGCGGCCTCCGCCAAAGCCGCCTCCACCGAATCCACTGCCTCCTCCAAAGCCACTGCCTCCTCCGAAGCCACTGCCACCTCCAAAGCCACTGCCACCTCCGAAGCCACCTCCGAAGCCACCGCCTCCAAATCCTCTGCTTCCTCCAAAACCAGAGCCACCTCCGAAGCCACCGCTGCCTCCAAAGCTGCTGCCGCCTCCAAAGCCACTGCCACCTCTGCCACCAAATCCACCACCGTAGCCAGCCACGCTAGTAGAGATGCTCTTGTACCCTCCAAGGCCGACAAGACTCTGACTGCCAAAGCCACCTCCACAAGAGCCTCCTCTGCCACCACCATGGCGGCTCAAGCAGGAGAAACCGCTGGTTGATCTCCGGCTCCCTCCAGAGACCACAGCTGAACCACTGCTGAAGCCCCGGAATCTGCCTCCTCCTCCTCCGCCTCCTCCTCTTCGAGACTTGCACGTGATCTGACAACTCATGATGGTTTTTGCTCAGCAAGGAAAGTAGAAGATCCGAGAAGATTCAAGGCTGGAGACTGAACTGTGTTGTTGGGAGACTCGCAGTGTCCCCTTATATACCTGCCAACTAGGTGTTGGCCAGCTTGGGTGTGGGCCCGGTTATGCTTGGGTTTGGTCTGCCTGGAAGCTATTCTTGGTGAGTGATTATCAACCTAATGGCCATTAAAACATCTACTAATCAGCTCTATTCCAGAACCTGCTTTGATTGCAAACTCCTGTTTATCTGTGCATCTGCCACGCAATTTGATTTTTGTAAAATCATCAGAAGAGGAGATTAGGATTTGGGTTTCTCAACTTGGAAAGAAAAAATGTCCTGCAAAATGCTGCTCCCTGTTATGGAACTACCCATGGGAAGCTAGTCACCACCCAGGCCTGTGTGGTCTTACAATCAAGGGAGGGAGATGGGTTTGAGACTCTGAGAGGGCTCATTCCAACGTTCCAGCTCTCTTGCTTTCCTGTGGCCCAAGGAAGAGGAGTAGAGGGGCAGTCTCTACATACAGTGACTGTGGTGAAGAATCAGCTTTTGCTGGTAGATAAACTGGCCTCCCATGTTGCAACAGTGTAGCCATTTCTCAGAGTATCTCAGACCCTTTCTTCCCAGACACCGTCAAACAAACACAGCCAAACTCTAGGGAAGGGATCCTTTTCAGCCCTACCTCTGTGAACTTTTATGACCATCAACTCTGCTGCTTTCTGCATGAATGCAGACAGAATGAAGGGTGAAGGGAAGAGTCTGTTCTTAAGTCCCTGTCACTCTGGGCATATGTGAATGTGTTACACAGACTGCATGGCTTTGAGATCCAAAGTGTGGACTGACTCCGCTGCTCAGAAACCATGTGTTGCCTTGTGATTCTGAAGGCAATGAGAAGGCAGGCCCTTCACTGACATTCAAAAATGGGTGAGCATTGAGAAAACCAGCCAGCCAGGCTGTCTATCTGGAGTTTATCCCTTACACCAAATCTAGGCCACCTCTGTTGTCCATGCGGCTACACACACAGAACAGATGCTGCAGAGAAACACAATCAACTCAAAGTCAACTAGGTTTAAACCCCAGTTTTGCCATTATTGGCTGTATGGCCTTGAATTAAACTTTGAGGCTTTGTTGCCTTAACTACAGAGTAGAAAATTGATATGCAATGTTTTGGTAACTATGCTATTATAAATCTGTTATTTTGAGTGAGACAAAGATATTTTCTTTTCCTTTAAACCTCGGTGTGCTAGTCTCTTGTTTAATGGCTTATGTCACACTTTCACTGTTTGTGAGAAATGGCACTGTATAAGTCACGTTGTTCTGTGAGCCTCGGTTGCTCAGTTTCCTCACCTATAGGAAGTGACGGGAGGAGAAAGAAAAGAGGGAGAAAGAAGAGGAAGAGGAGGAGGAAGAGGAAGAAGAAGAAGAGGAAGAAGAAGAAGACGACATGTGAAAGATGCGGCTGCTGTTAATAACTGAAACTCAGTGAATTTTATTTACCCTTTGTTCTCCCCTCTCTCAGGGCTGTGTGGTAACTGCTCAACAGGGGTGGGAGCAGAGATAAGGAACAAGGAACTTGTTGAGCTTTCTGATTTGCAGTAAAAGAATGCTGACCAAAGCAATCCAAGAGTCTCTCGAAGTGTTCCAGTCCGGTTTATATAATTACAATCATGCAAATAAACTATAAAGCTAAAAGCTTTAGAGTCTCAATCCAAAGCCAAATGTGTCACACTATCTATGGACATCTCTAAGCAACGCCCTAATTGTCCATTACTCCACCGTGACTCTGCTGAGGGGGACCACGCGAGCTTCAGAGGGGTCTTAATCCCTAAATGCAGAAAAGGAATGAGCATTTGCCCTGTCATAGTTTTTTTGCCCAGCACTTGATCAACATAAACATTTCAATTTTGTTCTCACCAATCTCCACTGGGCACCTGTCCCTTCTAGACCCAGTCTGTGGTGTATCAAAATCAAAGAATCAAAATAAATAAATAAATAAATCCTCTTCCTCTATTGAAAAGTGGAGGTTAGAAGTAAAGGACTCAGCTGCTACATAAGATTATATTTCTTTGTGTTTCTTTTTAATTTTACCTTTTGAAAAATAATTTCCATGAATTTTAAACATAGCATGTTTTGCATCATGAAAGGGGTGAGATGAGAATTAAAACTAGGACTGGCTGCAGTTTGATGTTCATGTCCATAGGAACCTGTGTTCCAGAGCCTCCCTCTACCACAAGAACATTAGCCTCCTGGTGAAAGCACGGCTCTTTTCTCTCAGGACAGCAGGAATCCTGCTTCCAGCAAAGCCCAAGTCTCTGGTGCTTCTCAGAGGTTTGCATACACTGTCTGCTGGGCATTGGAACAGAAGCCTGAGCCCTCGGTGGAAAGCAGAAAGGAGCTGGTTCTCAAGCCCACAGAAATGAAGCCTGAGCAGGTGCAAGTGCTGATAGCAGGAAGAGGTCCTCCACTCCACAGCTCCTTAGGAGCGCACTCCTCACAACCTCCTGGGCACAATCATTCTCGTGGTGTAGTGATCTTGTCCCTAGACTTATGCAGGGAAGAGCCAAGGTCATATTCATCTTTACCAGAAACTTCCATCTCCCATCATAGGCACCCAGGAATGATCCAGTGACCAAAATCTGATTTCTCAGGTTTGGTTTGGGACTGCAGGCTGGCCCTGGTGCAGGACTACAGTGGTGACCTTGTCTGAGTCTTGCAGCCTCCCCTGTAGTCCCTGAAGATCCCACTGCAGGAGTGGTCGCAGGTCTGTGCCTCTAGCAGAGTCCCTTTCTGTAACTTCCACCAAGTTCTCATCTCCCTTTCCCAGCGTCTGTGCCTTAACTGCAGTGTTTAAAGGGAAAATAAACCACAGCCCTCCTCCTCCAGCTCCTGATCGCTGAAAGTGGCAAAAACCCAGAGTGGAGCCAGTCGTGTCCCTTGATGGCCAGCATGCCCTCACTGCCTGCAGCCCCCTTCTGAGCACCAACATGCTGCTCCAGAGAGCGCATAGCAGCACCAGTGGCTGCAAGGAAAGGTGGGACAGAGCCTGGCAGGCTCCCAGCTGGAGCCACTTGCTCAACTTCTTCCTCCAGGGCCTTGCTTTGTAAACGATTATTCTAAACTGCTTACTCAGTCCAAGTCCCAGGCCCTGACCCAGTTCCCCATCCCAACGCTAGCCTCCCCCGCCCCCCGTGTCTTACCTAACCTGTTCATTTTTTAGTAGGTTGAGCTCTGTTCACCCTATTTTCTGAAAAATAAACAGATGGCTGATGTTTTTAAGGGGTCCTGGTCAAACTGGCTGTTTTACTGGGAATGCTACCTGGCACTTCCCATAAGCCTCGTTCTGCAGGACAGTTCCCAGAATGAGGACATTGCAGTACACACATGCCAGGCTTCTGGAGAAAGTGAGTGTGCAAGCTTCAGAAACAGAGGGACAATGAGGACAGGGGCAGGCCCAGTAGCCAGCAAGCATTTGATGTATGTTTGTGGAATGCAGTAATTAGTGAAAAACAAATCAATAAACCAATGAAAGAAAACACCAGCACAGAACCTTGTTTAAACTTGGTAATGAATGAATGTCACTTCTTTCCCTTTGCTGTGAACGTATATGACATATGTAATTTAATTTTGTGTGTGTGTGTGTGTGTGTGTTTTGAAACAGGATCCCATAACCCAGGCTAGCACTAAGCTCAATGTCCTCCTTCTCTAGGCTTCCAAGTGTGAGGATTACAGGCATGTACAGCCATGCCCAGCTTTCTGGCCCAGAATACTGTATTCTGTATTGTGGATTTATTCGCTACATAGTGGATCTGCAGCTGCATCAACTCCGTTTCCTAAAGGTTCGTGGAGACCTGTGCCCTGTTGGCTAATATGCTGACATGGTGTTTGGCCTCATGTCCCCATTCTTGCAGAGAGAACGGCAAAGGGTTAGCCATGGACAGCTCTGCTATTCCAGCACCAAACCTCCTTCCAGCCACACAGTTGATCTGGACCACATTCTCCCTGCCAGACCCAGGTGCTTGCTCTCATCCATTTCCTACAGAGCCACTCAAACCTGGAAGAACCAGGTCGTCGGATATCCCACCCCACCCTAGTCAGAATCCGAACAGAAGCATCGTCACAGTCACGGGCTTATGCTGTCTTTGTGGGTCAGAGGCTCCCCAGACTCTTCCATGTTAAGGGTTACCCTCTTCTCACTCAGCCCCTCAAAAGAGGGGAGCTCTCCTACCAATCCCATACCACACTGCCACCACCGATGGTCATAATTCACACCTGGCCTCCCCTCCCCCAGCACCAGTGGGAAGAGCTCCTTCTTCTTGTCAAAGTTTCTCTATAGCCTCCGCAGGGATTATTGTAGGGAGGCTGGTGGAGTGATGCCCTTTCCCCCAAAAATGAGTCAAAATATGTATTAAAACAACCTTTATTTTAAAAACCTAGATCCAAGCAATTCCCACTTCTCAGTGTAGCAATAAACTTTTTATAAACCATCTAGAACAGCCACAGACTTCATCCTGGGGGAGATTTTTGCTGTAAGGACTTAGGGAAAGGCAAATGTTCAGAACTCTTCGAATAACTTTTTGTTTCTTGACTTCGAAAACAATGGATCTTGATAATTCTTCTTTACAAACCTTTTAAATCCAAAACAAAACAAAACGTAAAACATAAATGAAATCATTGCTAATTGAGCTATTAAAAATAAAGCTAGTACAGTCATTAACCCTGGATGTATTAAATTTATGACCCAAATTACACTTTTATGAGCTTCGGGCACACTTCACAGCCCATCAGGTATTCAGAGAAGTGTGTTCATCTCAGGTTAGCAGACTTTTACAACGGAAGCTGTGTGGTAACCCAGGAAGAGCGTGTTTAGGAGCAAAGGTCAAGTCCTTGTACCAGAGAGCAGAGGTATCACCTGGATATGTCACCTCACTCAGCCCCATTCATCACCTGTGGTCTGCAGGATTTAGTGACCATGGGAGACCACTGGAGA